TGAATACAAAGCCACAATACTCAAGGTGGATACAAAGCCACCATACTCATCCAGGTGGATACAAAGCCACCATACTCATCCAGGTGGATACAAAGCCACAATACTCATCAAGGTGGATACAAAGCCACAATATTCAAGGTGGATACAAAGTCACAATACTCATCAGGGTGGATACAAAGTCACAATACTCATCCAGGTGGATACAAAGACGCAATATTCAAGGTGGATACAAAGCCACAATACTCCTCAATGTTGGTACAAAGCCACCATACTCATCCAGGTGGATACAAAGCCACAATACTCATCAAGGTGAATACAAAGCCACAATACTCAAGGTGGATACAAAGCCACAATACTCAAGGTGAATACAAAGCCACAATACTCAAGGTGAATACAAAGCCACAATACTCAAGGTGAATACAAAGCCACAATACTCAAGGTGGATACAAAGCCACAATACTCAAGGTGGATACAAAGTCACAATACTCAAGGTGGATACAAAGTCACAATACTCATCAAGGTGGATACAAAGCCACAATACTCAAGGTGGATACAAAGCCACAATACTCATCAAGGTGGATACAAAGCCACAGCACTCATCAAGGTGGATACAATGCCACAATACTCCTCAATGTTGGTACAAAGCCACCATACTCATCCAGGTGGATACAAAGCCACAATACTCAAGGAGGATACAAAGCCACAATACTCATCAAGGCGGATACAAAGTCACAATACTCATCAAGGTGGATACAAACAACAATACTCATCAATGTTGGTACAAAGCCACAATACTCAAGGTGGATACAAACAACAATACTCATCAATGTGGGTACAAAGCCACCATACTCATCCAGGTGGATACAAAGCCACAATCCTCATCAAGGTGAATACAAAGCCACAATACTCCAGGTGAATACAAAGCCACAATACTCAAGGGGGATACAAAGCCACAATACTCATCAAGGTGAATACAAAGCCACAATACTAGGTGGGAACAAAGCCACAATACTCAAGGTGGATACAAAGCTACCATACTCATCAAGGTGGATACAAAGCCACCATACTTATCAAGGTGGATACAAAGCCACCATACTCATCAGGGTGGATACAAAGCCACCATATTCATCAAACTTGTTACAAAGTCACCAGTATCAACAAGGTGAATACAAAGCCACAATACTCAAGATGAATACAAAGCCACAATACTCAAGGTGGAAACAAAGCCCCAATACTCATCAAGGTGGATACAAAGCCACAGCACTACTCCTCAAGTTGGATACAAAGCCACAATACTCAGCAAGGTGTGGATACAAAACCGCAATACTCATCAATGTGGATACAAAGCCACCATACTCATCCAGGTGGATACAAAGCCACAATCCTCATCAAGGTGAATACAAAGCCACAATACTCATCAAGGTATACAAAGCCACAATACTCATCAAGGTATACAAAGCCACAATACTCATCAAGGTGAATACAAAGCCACAATACTCCAGGTGAATACAAAGCCACAATACTCAAGATGAATACAAAGCCACAATACTCAAGGTGGAGACACAGCCACAATACTCAAGGTGGATACAAAACCACCATACTCATCAATATGGATACAAAGCCACCATACTCATCAAGGTGGTTACAAAGCCACCATATTCATCAAACTTGTTACAAAGTCACCAGTATCTACAAGGTGAATACAAAGCCACAATACTCCAGGTGAATACAAAGCCACAATACTCAAGATGAATACAAAGCCACAATACTCAAGGTGGATACAAACAACAATACTCATCAAGGTGGATACAAAGCCACCATACTCATCAAGGTGGATACAAAGCCACCATATTCATCAAACTTGTTACAAAGTCACCAGTATCAACAAGGTGAATACAAAGCCACAATACTCATTAGTCATACTTTCAAATCTCGTCTCATGTTTTCTCACACACATGTCAAGCTGATGTTGGCTTGTAGTTTTTTCTGAGCTCACACCAACATTTTGTTACTTGTTCAGTCTAACACAGCTTTTTTCAGTTCACATACACTTTCTCACTTTGCATAAGGGAGATGGTGTACTGCCAGCAGGAGACCCTATTTCCAAAACATAATAAATCGGTGGGTTTTATTTTAAGTTATGTAAAATGAAATATTTAAGATTACAAACTAAGAATACATTGAGTTTGAGCACAGACCATGATTTGAGAATGTTTTAATGATGTGTGACCTTGTTTACAATATACCAGGTAAACAGTAGGCACAGATTAGACATGAAGTCTGAAGTTTACAGAGAAAACAAAACAACAACATTTTAGTTTTCATTTGTGTATTCTTTTCAGCATGATAGGAATCTATATCACAATTGTGTTACTGCATGCTTGAAACTAAACATAATCATATATATGACATTGACATTATCACATTTAAAACATAAATATGTAATCTGTTAAATAATGGTCATAAAGCTGAACTAGAATGCAGATATCCTTCTGTATGCAGATATACAAAACATGAAGTTTTACTTTATCCCAGTGGAATACCTATTTAAACGTGTATTTAAAGAAAAGTTTTGTTTGTATGAGAAAAATTGCAATGTCATAAACTTAACTCTGTAAAATATAAAGTCAGTTCAGGACCTTTCCTTTATAATAACTGCAGAGAATATAATCAAGGAATAAAGGCATCTCAACACCATCAGGATGTTTTGTGTTCCTTTATTTCTTGATTATGTTGTATTAGCAAGGAGCTCTATAGAATCCACTCACAGATCCGCCCTAGGACGCTACCGCAAAGTTCTACTTTAGGAGTGTTGGAGCACCAATTATTTGTTAACTGCAGAGAAGAATACTTTCTCTTCAATTTCATCAAAGAAATTTAAATATTTATAAGCAAATCCTGCAAGATTTCCTCATACCAAGTTATAAATACATCATACATTTACTGACAGTAAGACTTTAACAAGCTATGTAGGTAGTGTTGATACAAACGGATCCATATATACTATATATAATCTATATACTGGATCCATATATACTATATATAATCTATAAACTGGATCCATATATACTATATATAATCTATATATTAAGTTCAAGTCAAGTATATGTAGTAAAGCAAGCCATGTAACACATTATTTTAACCAGATTGATGATAACATAAACAGTCTAACTTATCATACTCATTTATAAAGGATGCCTATACACTGGGGATATGTATGGAAAATTGTATTCCAGAAATGATTTTCAGAAAAACTGAGAAAGAAAAGGGATTAAAGTATTGTCTAACTGGAAAATGATTACCATAGAATTTTTGGTTTATTAAGTATGTAGAGACACGTTTGTCCTAAGGAGGCTTCCAAATACACCAACAATTTCTATAGTTAATAAATATGGCACAGACACACACCTTAGGAAGAAAAAAAAACATTTCTTGCAACAATATTGCGAAAATGGTTCTTGTCATATTTTTACACCAAACTAGGATGCATAGAATAAATCAGAACAAATAAAGCTGTATGTTACATCATGTCAGAAAGAGGTGGCAGTAGCTCAAGGATGGACACTGGGATATATACATTATTCTGCAATGACAGAGTCAGGAATCTGTGTGATGAGAAATGATAAATCAGGATTTAACCTTATGTGTGATGAGAAAATAGTGATAGAGTCAGGAACCTGTGACATTATAAAAAAAATATACTGGAAGGCACAGGAATCTGCAAAGAGGAAAGCGTGATAGCAACAGGATTTAACTGTACACTGACTATGGTTATATAGGGTCAGGAACCTTAATGAGAAAACAATCAGCCTATATAGCTATGGGGTAAGAAACTAGTGAAAAGAGACAATGAGCATAAAGTTAGGAACCTGTGGATCAATAATTGGCCGAGGGAAATGAGCAATAGACAGGACACTGAATACAAACCTTAAAGTACATGTGAATGCAGGTAGTACATGTTCTTCCTGCAGGGCTGATTTAATGCAGAGTACTTTCAAGGATTTTCGGACATATCCAAATATGAGCTACATATTTAGTGCAGATCAGATATTCCTATACATTCAAATAAGGCACAGACCAGTTAAAAATACTCCTTCGAAAAGTGATTTGTGACAAATCAATTATTGGCAAGATGGAAATAATTAATATAAACTGCAATATACCATTCCCCTAATTAACCCCACCAAAACAAATCAGAGGGAGACGAGCAGTTTTAGTTTTTTTATAATATATTACACAACTGATAATTAATTATTAAAACATGAAATAAATAAATGAAAACATGAACAATGTGTAAAATGTGTTTCATACATACTGTGTACAGAAATTCACTTCTATTTTCAAAGGATATAAAACTTTTTAATTTCTCATAGAATCTTTTTAATGATTTATACGATATTTTATTTTGTTTTCATTTTATTTTATATAACAGAAAATGTATATTACTATAACAAACTGTTTTGGTGCATTGCGATTAAACATTGTTAAGGGAGGTAACTCATGAAGATCGTTTTGCTCATATTTTTTATTAACTTCCAACTTAAATATTTTCAATAAGTTTATATTTTTTTAATCTGTATTTTTTACTTACTTATGCTAAAATTAATCTTCTGAAAACCTTTTCAAGTTTAATACCAGAATATCCAAAGGGACTAGGATTTGTCAATTTCGTGCAAATGTGTTAGTTTCTTTAAACTTTTTTCTCGGATTCCATCGCAACTTCCTGCGATAAACTTAATAAGATGTGTTACTAAAAACTGATCAAATATTTAGTCAGTTCATGTTATGAAAATTCATTATCTCATTTATCTTGTTCAGACAATAAATACTAATAAATGTATATGAAATTCATCATAAATTACCATGAACACTGGTAAAATACATAAATACATATGATTCTATAACATTTGTAAATAAATACATATTTTCATTATAATATCTACTCATGTAATTATCAGAAAATAAATACATACAATTTGTGGGAAGATGTATGTGAAAAATCTATATATAAAGTTTTAATTTTACAAATATACCCCTTAGCTACAATTACATGTTTTATACAATAATGTGCAACATTGATATCATAGAAAGAATTAGTACATATTGTAAGCTAGTAACATAAAACCACTTTTATCTAACTGCAGATAGTTTACACTTAATGAAAATTTCTATGTAAGCTAGTAACATAAAACCACTTTTATATAACTGCAGATAGCTTACACTTAATGAATATTTATATATTCATATTAGCACCTATTCTCCAATGTAAACTACCCTGTTCTGTTTCTTGGTTATATTTCTCTCATTCAGGTGTGTGTATGATAAAACTGTCCAGGAGAAGAAAGGGGTGTTCTACCTTACATCCCATTTCATGTGACATTGAAATGATATACACAAATGATAAGACAAAAAAAAACACTCTTTGGATTTTTGAACAGGGCCAAAGCCTATTATCAATCATTCTCCACTTACCCAACACTGTAAAAACCTTATACGCATAAATACCATGATAGAGAAATTCTGCCAGATAAAGCCATTGACAGCCTTTCTTCATAGGGTTAGAAAAACAAATGTATCACTTACAACTTCTTTATATCATAGTAAAACCTGATGACTTATCCAGACCTTACCAGATCTATCGGGTAAAAACATCCAAAATATGTCCCATGTGTTGGTAGTGGTACAACAGTGGATCTTTTTTATGGTATATCATGTTTGAGAACCTAGAATGTATATGTTATAACCTTGGCTGAAATGACCCAGTGACCACCTAAAAGTCTATAAGCTACAACCTGAGCTAACTCACTTACAATACACCTGTTTCTACCCACTGATATCCTACAATAGTGCCATACGGTAAACAAATGAGTTTTTAACAACTTTCCTTTGCAAATCTGTGTATCCTGGACTTGAACAAACATCTTTGCGTGATCTTCAATGATGAAGGAGAGCCCGTTTATCGTTATAAGTAACAAGGTTTTCTACTTCCACCTCTGTCCTCTCTAAGAAATCTTCTGATACTCCGTCCACTCTATATGTTGTACTAGTTGTGCCTTGGTTGTCAAGGGCTCTTGTCACTTAGTAAGCCCCAGACCTCTGAAGTCGACCGTCCACATCAACTCTGCTGTAAGGGGCTTATATTCACTAAATTAACCTCTCCCCTACTTGCGCCTCGGGCGTCGAGGTCCTCGGTCACTGTAGCCTCCTGGGACCCCCTGAATAAGTCCTCCATCCTCATCGTAACCTAACTTTCTACGTAACTTCACAATCTCCTGTTTGTATCTGTAAGAAAGAAAGAAATTAAGGTAACATTTTAAATGACTTCATTACTGTATTTGAGCAAAGGATGGCATGTTAGCCAGCTATAGCTATTAGATAGGAGTTGAGCAAGGTATGGTATGTTAGCCAGCTATAGCTATGAGATAGGAGTTGAGCAAGGGATGGCATGTTAGCCAGCTATAGCTATTATATAGGAGTTGAGCAAGGGATGGCATGTTAGCCAGCTATAGCTAATAGATAGGAGTTGAGCAAGGAATGGCATGTTGGCCAGCTATAGCTATTAGATAGGAGAAGTCAGGACTTTATTATCGTAAATGATACATGGCCATTATCATACATAAGCATCTGATCATAGCCAAGAAAGCTGTTAGACGCATGTTAGCCAGCTATAGCTATTAGATAGGAGTTGAGTAAGGGATGGCATGTTAGCCAGCTATAGCTAATAGATAGGAGTTGAGCAAGGAATGGCATGTTGGCCAGCTATAGCTATTAGATAGGAGGTGAGCAAGGGATGGTATGTTAGCCAGCTATAGCTATTTGATAGGAGTTGAGCAAGGGATGGCATGTTAGCCAGCTATAGCTATTATATAGGAGTTGAGCAAGGGATGGCATGTTAGCCAGCTATAGCTAATAGATAGGAGTTGAGCAAGGAATGGCATGTTGGCCAGCTATAGCTATTAGATAGGAGAAATCAGAACTTTATTATCGTAAATGATACATGGCCATTGTCATACATAAGCAGCTGATCATAGCCAAGAAAGCTGTTAGACAACAGAGCAACAGCATGTATTAGCTATTAGATAGGAGTTGAGCAAGGGATGGGATGCTAGCCAGCTATAGCTATTAGATAGAAGTTGAGCAAGGGATGGCACGTTGGCCAGCTATAGCTATTAGATAGGAGAAGTCAGGACTTTATTATCGTAAATGATACATGGCCATTGTCATACAGAAGCATCTGATCATAGCCAAGAAAGCTGTTAGACGCATGTTAGCCAGCTATAGCTATTAGATAGGAGTTGACCAAGGGATGGCATGTTAGCCAGCTATAGCTAATAGATAGGAGTTGAGCAAGGAATGGCATGTTGGCCAGCTATAGCTATTAGATAGGAGTTAAGCAAGGGATGGTATGTTAGCCAGCTATATCTATTAGATAGGAGTTGAGCAAGGTATGGTATGTTAGCCAGCTATAGCTATGAGATAGGAGTTGAGCAAGGGATGGCATGTTAGCCAGCTATAGCTAATAGATAGGAGTTGAGCAAGGAATGGCATGTTGGCCAGCTATAGCTATTAGATAGGAGAAATCAGAACTTTATTATCGTAAATGATACATGGCCATTATCATACATAAGCATCTGATCATAGCCAAGAAAGCTGTTAGACAACAGAGCAACAGCATGTATTAGCTATTAGATAGGAGTTGAGCAAGGGATGGGATGCTAGCCAGCTATAGCTATTAGATAGAAGTTGAGCAAGGGATGGCATGTTGGCCAGCTATAGCTATTAGATAGGAGAAATCAGGACTTTATTATCGTAAATGATACATGGCCATTGTCATACATAAGCATCTGATCATAGCCAAGAAAGCTGTTAGACAACAGAGCAACAGCATGTATCATTGTAGGTAATGGGGCTTTCACATGCTGAAAATAGAACTGTTTATTTTAGAGGCCTTTTACATCGTGGAACAGTGATGCGAGGCCTAATCTTTCCCCAAAGCATACAGAGATTAGCAAGAGGGATGAAAAATGTGCTCGATTCGAGATAGATTGCCCCACCTGATCAGGTGTCGTTCAATGTAGTCCTGACTTTCCCGTAGCTGTTCCTTGAGGGAGGTGTTCTCACTGAGAAGTCGTGCTCTTTCCTCTTCCAGCTGCTGTTGTGTGTTCAGCGTATACTCTCTAAGCTGTTTACGCAGCATAGACCAGGAATCGGCTGGCATGTCACCAACTCTGTAACATAATAATCCATTTAAATATGAAGGGGATAGTTTCTGTTGTCATGTCAGAATGAGGTGCTCTGTGATCAGTGGAAATACTCACTGTGGCACAGTATGACTTTGTTGTATTATGTTGTTGTAACTATGCCTATTATACAACTGTGACACCAACAAATATACAATTCTCTCTGTAAACTCACACTTTCAGGAATGACCTCTCATAGAAGTATTAACACTCGCTCATATATAGGAAATATCCTTTGATTGAAAGAAAGTTGTCATGTGGTGTATGTTTTATTCCTAAACAAACTAAAACTGTCACCGGAATGGAACATTAATACCCCCAACCCGACCGGCACCAAGAACTATAGGAATAGTTCTTTCAACAAGAGGCCCATGGGCCTTAACGGTCACCTGATATATTTATACAGAGAGTTGATTTTGTTTTTAACATGAACAGAATTATTATTCAAAGTGACAAAAAAACAATAAAACCACCTTATCAATATCTAGCATACAGATTTAAGACTAAAAAGTATTTAAAACTAGCACCACTGATTCTAAACAAGGAAAATGAAGAAATTTTAGCACACTGACTCCTTTGGGCCCCACCCTACAGCCCTTGTGGGTAGGGCTGGCTCAAAATGTAATATTCAAAGTATCATTTGCCATTATAAACCATAATAACTTTTGCCGCCCCCCCCCTCCCCACCCTTCCTTCCCTAGGGTCTAAACATGAGACCCTAGGGTCATAAACCTTAAGACTAAGACCCTTCAATCTATGGAGAGTGTTTGATTCTACCATATCTTGGT